AATTAAAATTTTAAAATATCTAATTATCTCAGTAACCAATAATCCAAATTTAACGATTTTGATGTCATTCGATTTGTCTCAATGAGACGATTCGAATGGTAGTAAAAATGTTAAAATTGAATTACTAGATTACGAGATATTTATAAAAAACTATTTACAACGTACTAAAATACAAAAATTTAAAAAATTGTGCCGTAGATAGTTGTTTGTAATTATCGCATGATCCAGTGATCCAAATTTAACATTTTTGATACCATTAGAATCATCTCATCAAGATGAATCAAATGACACCAAAATCGTTAAATTTGGATCATTGGTTATTGAGATAATTAGATATTTTATAATTTTAGTTAAATATAATTATCTCATAATCCAGTAATTCAAATTTAACGATTTTGATACCATTTGATTCGTCTCAATGAGACGGTTCGAATGATATCAAAATCATTAAAATTAGATTACTGGGTCACAAGATATCATCGATTTTGTTATTTTTTATATTTTTGCAGATCTTTACTATATATGTTTCTTTACGTAAATTATAGATGACCCCATACAGAAATTGTATACAGTTTAAAATATCATGTACAGAAATTATACATAGCCCAAAAATTATATACATACAGAAATTGTATATAGCCAAAAATTATACATGTACAGTAATTATATATAGTCAAAAATTATATATATACAGAAATTATATATAGCCAAAAATTATACACATACAGGAATTGTACATAGCCAAAAATTATATATATACAGGAATTGTACATAGCAGAAACTTACTGCATAGGGTGTGGCGACTTAGTGAAGTGATCAAGTTGTCACACCCCTAAGTGGCAGAACAAAAGTTCGAATCCTACTGGTGATGAAATTCAAATTTTACAAAATGTGTTACAGCAGACTGTGTATAATCTGATAGATTATCAAATCTGTAAACTTGGTTGTATTAAAGGTTATTGGAAAGCTGTAGAACTGTAGTATGATGTATGAGTTACATGAACTGGGTGAAACAGCTGTGTAAATCCAGATATTGGGGTACATGAAAGCTTGCTTAGAAAGTCCTGAGTAGAGAAGTAGCACAGATTTTTGACAGTACTATGTAAAAGATTATTTAAGAAATCCAGATACCAATTTTAGTAATCTGGATGAGGACTGGTATTAGGCAAGCACTATACTAATCAGGCCGCCAGATGTGAGCTGAAGGAAAAAGAACCCAACTGTGGGGACCAGGAGCAGGTCACAGCTCTTCCAGGCTATCTGAATTAGGAGTTTAGGTTACTGATGGAACTTAGGTACCAGTGATAGTCAGTAAAGTGTGTACTAGGATCTAAGTGAATTCTACAAGGGCAGAAGTAGGTAATGGTAGCGGAGAAATACTGCAAGTACTTGGTCTCAGCCTAGGCGCAAGTTACTGAAAAACCTAGGTGATACATGTTTGTGGGACATGGACCACTCTAGTAGGTTTATCACGAGGATAAATTAGTCCTAAGGGGCCTTAGCGGCAGTTCCTCTTTGGGGAGAATATCCAATGGCGTTAAGTTAATCAGAGGGTTTAATTGGGTAACTCAAGTAATAGTGGGTTATAGGTATGACATCTAGTTTAGTACTTAGTAATAGGGAACTACTTAATTAGACAAGGCACAGATATGACTAGTTTGTACTCTTGTTAATGTAACAAAGTCAGGGGTGGTCCTGTGGCTGCTCTGACATTCGCAACCAAAGTTAATAAACGTGCCAGACCCCCAAGTGGTCACCTTAACATTAAAAAAAAAAAAAAAAATGTTGAAACTCGTGTATGATTCAATCACATTGCACCATATAATGCCTTATTTTGAATTAGAATATCATTGACAAAGCTGCTATTAAAGTACTAAATTCGAAATTATTAAACTTATTCAATTATGTTAAAGAGCGTGCTGAATTACATAAGTTTAATAATTTAGAAATTATTGCTTAAATATAATCTGTACTATGTAATCAAACCAATGATAAATATCTTAATCATCTCTAATATTTGTAGACCTGGCGTCTTTTAACCATTGTGATCAATTAACTCCAAAATCGTCAACCCAAATAAAAAATTAATTAAAATCATAGTCAAGCATGAAAATGAAAGTAAAACAATAACAGAGGAATGGCTTAGTCTATATATGTAAAAAAATAAGATGAAAAGTTAGTAATTAAAATCAAAAATAATAAAAAACAGGAGAATAATAGTAAAAATCTTTTTATGTATAACTCTAAGCCCTCAAATTCAAATATATTAGATGGAATATTGTAAAGGTCCTATAAATGTTATAAAAAGAGTATAAATAAGTTAACAATAATGTCTCAAATCATGGCTTTTTAATAGATAATAAGCGATTCTCCTTACTTTTAAAAGTTTTTTATATTTATTGCATTATTCTATTAATCCTTATTTTATTTTGTATTAGCCATGGGTCATTTTAAAAAACACCTGTTAGTTCATCGTATGAATATTAGAAAAGCAAGACAATATAGAAACCATATTAGTGATAGTGAAGATACACCTATAATTGATAATAATGAGTATGATTTAGAAGATGAGGAAAAAGCAGAGTTAGTTTTTAAACGGTTGTTTCAAAATACTCAAAAGCTGGATAATATAAAAAGCTCACGCTGGAGATATACTGGCAACTCTGTTCGAACAAGACAAAGAAAATTAAGAGAAAATAAATTAGCAGCAGTAGGAAGTCATAAAATAAACCAATTTTTTAGCTTAACAAACAATATGAATTTGAATAATAACGATGAAATAGAAGACCAGTTAAACTATGAAAGTGAAAACAAACTTATGAAATATTCTGAACAGTGGGAACAACAACTTTAAGAAACAGTCACAACAGTTAATTAACAATGCTAATTATCAAAATCAGATAAGGCAAGATATATTTCAGTAATTCATTACATACGACTACTTCAACATAATACACCTAGAATGGAAGCAAGCCATACAGTAGCAAAAATCCATAATGGAGGTAAGTATCGTGCTAGCTATATACGTACATGGGCAAAAACGTGCTTAGAAGAAAAGGTATTACCTCCATCACAACGTGGAAAACATTCGTCAAAATCCTTTTTTTATAATGAATATGTTTTGTTGAAAGTTGCAAGATATTTATGAGCTACAAAATTTGAAATAAATCTATCATTACTTAAAAAGTTCTTTGAAACCAAAATTCTTCCTGAACTTCATATAGATCAAGCTCAAACTATTTCTTTACGTACAGCACGACGTTGGTTAAAAAAAATGAGGTTTACTTATAAATGATATAAGAAAGGAATATATTGTAATGTAACAAGTTAGACCTTTGGTCAACTAGCTACAATTCTTAACTAAGTGTACGAGTAGTTAAGAAATGTGTTTATATAATTTATAGAAGAAAATAGTATATAAATAGGATGAAATATTATCAACTTATTGCTAATGCGACACTCACAAAGAAAAGGTTATAACTAACAAAATTTATAAACAAAGATAGATTTATTAACTCAGATAATACTCAAAAGAATAACACAGATAAAACAAATATAT